CCCCCCCCCCCCCCCCCCCCGGGCTTTTAAGTAAATAAGCATCCAGAATATGGATGGTATTTATGACTAGGTGTGTGGGAGAGTCCTTATAGGGACGTGATCTTCGGGCTTACAGCCAAGGGTTTTAGGAGAGACAGGGATTTTAGGTCATATGGCTCACTTGGGCCATGTCCTGTGCTTTTTGGAGCATGCCCCATAAATATGTAGGACAGAACCCCGGCAATGAAGGACATATCAGGATCCAGGTACAAGTAGGGTAGGGCAGAGGATAGGTCTGCAACAACAACCAAAAGCACAGAGTTCTGAACAGCCTGGCAGCCAACGAACATCATGGCTGGAAGCTCTTTGTGGCTTGCAGGCGCAGGTGGCAGCAGCGTTACTTGAGATTTGAAATGGCAGCGAATGCAGATCAAGCCTGACGCAACTGCCGTGACGTGCGTATCACCCCAGGATTGTTTTTCTCACATTTCTGTTCCCTATGTGGGGGAAGCTGGCATGGGGACCCATACTACACCAGGATCCCGAATGAAGGGGCCCATTCTCCATTGAACTCAGCCGACTTCGTGTTACCCAATGAGAGCAGGAAACCAGTGTCTAGCATCTTGTCAGATCAGGCCCGCATTACCCGCTTAGTCTGCAGCAAATATGCCTGAACAAAACCTGGCACTCGAATCCTTGCGCATGTGAAGCCGGATACTACGGATGCAGCAAGTGTTGTAGCCCTTGGGATGCCGCAACCACTATCTGGGCGTAATTGAAAATATTTGAGCTATCGTCGTAACTTCTAGTATTTCCCTTAATGACCCCTATAATGCTTCCCTAAATAATCCCCTCATAACCCCCTTTACGGAGTCTAGACTTTTGCTCATGTGGTTAAGGTCATGCTACCTGTATAAGTAGTGTTGGGTTCTTCGGGTCCGCGTGGCAGACTCCAAGCCCTCCACCGTGTAGGAGTTGCTTGTATACTTGGATCCCTAGGATATTATGAAGTAATAATTCCAGGGGCCTAAAAATCCACCGGAAGCCCACTTTTGCTGTGCAAGACTACTTCAAAAGGGGCTGATTAAGCAATCAGTTTATCTGAATTGAATAAATATTCACGCAATTGCGAATTTCTGTTGTCAACTAACAATGAATCAGCGATTTCCCATGGAGTCCGAAGAGGATTCTAAAGGCAGCCTATCTAACTCGTTCAGTACATAGTCCCGAAAATAGTAAATGGTTTATGGGCCCTGATGATTCACTATCCCCCCAATGTTTAACATTAGGGGAGCAATGCATATGGACATGTATGCATACGTGTATATATATATGCATATAAATGTAAACACATATATTTACGTCTATTCATGTACATCCAGGCACCAAGCCCTAAACCCTGCATTCGTTCCATGTCTGGAAACCTTAGACACATCGTTCCATGTCTGGAAACCTTAGACACATGTCGTTGTAATCCTCGTTGGGTTGCAATAGCATAAGAGTTTCAAGGTAATCATATTCAACAAGAACCCAACGATGACCTAGTAGTCCCCAAAGTTTTTCGTCTTTTCCAATTTCTGTTGCAACTCGTGGCAGCAGAGAAGCTGCACAAAGGCCACAGGCCTTTCAGCCGACGCCAAGCATTGTACTTCCAGGAACACTATTAGCATTATAGCCCGGTGATCCTTTCCATGAACCTACGGAATTTCAATGTTTGGGGGCCTGGAGGACAGTCTGAGAACGCGGCTGTCTACAAAGAGTTCTTGGGCGGGCTTGTGGCCCAAAACTGTTGCTTACAAACTGCGCACGAACGCGCGGAAAGAGTTGACATGCCACCCATTGTGGCACATCCAAAAGATCAAGCTGGGGAATGGAAAAATTTCGACAAAATTTGATGGGCTTCCTTTCAGAAAGCCGTGCGTCGTTGCTCCTGGTGAACACCTGGCGACAACTTGCACCGGAGCTGCTTCAAGAAATAACATGCTGTCCTCCCAGGGCTGGACATTGGGCAGGGGTGCTAGGATGCTACGGAACTCTGTTGTCTTTCACACCCGGTCAAACCTAGGCAGGAGTCTTGCATGCAGGATCGTCAAGGAACTGTCCTTCATATTGGAAGGCTAGACAGCATGCCACAGCCAATGCTTTGGCACGCTCCAAGATGCTAATTTCGTGCATTGAATGTCAGATTAGGGCAGTCACAAAGGTATTCCCGGCCACCTGATTCCTGAATGTAGATCCTCTCCTCATTATGACATTATGAAGCCTTGCGAATGTTTATTCCAGAATTGCACTACGCTCTGCTACTTGGTGTATGTGTGGTACGTGGAAGAACTTCTCTTTGGAAGTCTATATCACATGAAAGCATCATTGTGTCAGCGCAACAGAAGAGCACAACATGTAGCCCATGAAGGACCTCTAAACTCCAAAGTTGCCAAACTGATTCCTCAGAATGCCATGTAGTAACCTAGAGGCCCCTAAACCCTAAACCCTAATCTTTGCAGGAGCTTCTCCCCGGATTTTCCTGGGCTTTGCTGAAACGTGCCCCAAAAGCTTTGTTCTCATTACTCAGGTCAACACATTCCTACTTGGGCCAGGGTGCTGCGGCTAGTTGCTTCTTTGGAGACAGGGGTCGGGGTGGCCGACGTACTTTGCAGAAAACTCAACTCCCTTGAATGCACCAAGCTTGGGAGGATCCTTGTCTCAGGATTTTCCCAGGCGGCTGGGCTGGGCTGGAAGTTCCTAGTAGTAGTTTCCATTTTCTTCTCCATTATCCCTATATAACCCCTATATATACCCCGTAATTAGCTTCCTACCGGTTCAACACGACGTCTCCGGAGACTGCGCGGTGGTCACTGCCCGCGGCACGAGGCCAAATCTGGGACTGCACGATGGACTGGCCTCAACCATTTGAGGTATAGTGCAAACTCCTAGTATCCCCCTAGATGTCCCCCATACTAGTCCCCTATATAATTCCCTATATAACCCACCTTTAAGGAGTTTAGTTTTTGGTGCATTTCATGATCTAGAGGCTTTGGGTTGGAGGCTTGGTAGTGTAGGGGGTCTCAGGTTTAAGTTTGAGATCTATACAACTAGGTGAACTCGAAATGTATCCAACATGCCTGTTTGACTCGTTTTGTATCAAGAAGGGTTTGGAGCCACTGCTTTACTTTCAACAGGTTCGAGTAGGCCAAAAGTATTGGGGTGAACCCTAAACCCTACCGTGTGTAGGCGGAATCTCCAGTTTCAGAAACCCCTATATAACCTCCATAATCCTTGTAGTTTCCATTCTCTTTTCCATTATCCCCAATAACACCCAATATAACCCCAATACTAGAGTTTGCAAGCGCTGTAGACGGATCACCTGTAAAGAAGATCAAGGAAGCAGTTACAGCGCTGCTGAGACAGCGGCAGTTAGATCAAAAAGAAAGCTGGGTTGGATGAGCCCATTTCTTCCACCCAAGCAAAGTTGTCAGCAACTGGGATTTAAAGGTTTAGGGCAAGCCTCTTGCAACGGTTTCAGGCATTGAGCACAGGAAGCCTTAGCAACAGTCTTTGTTCGCCAGGTAAAACTTAAATCCTGAGACCTCAAAACAGACTTAACCATGGTGAGTGCACAGTATATCCTAAAGCTCAGCACCTAGGCTTTCGTCGTCAAGAACTTCAAGGGCGCTGTTATCAGCAAGAGTATGGGACAGGGCCCCTACGTACATGCTTGCAGCTATGTGGGCTGGGCCCCCTGACGTCACAGAAGTTCAGTTTCATGAAGACAGCATTGGACCGCCAGACTTCTTCACCACAAAGTGCTCCGCACAGCCGATCGCCATGTTTTTTGAGATCCCTCATGCCCTCTACTAAGCACTGCCCAGTGGCCCACGGAGATGGGGGTCTTCTGAAAGTACACGTAATCCAGTCGCACCGGGTCGTCGTTGATGGTGGAGGGGTCCGGGTTGCCGGGGTGAAGCTCAGCCCAGGCCTTGGTCAAAGGATGAAAGGATAGTCTGGGGTTTGGGCTATATGGGCGCTTGTAGAAATTGCCAGCTTAATTTTTGGGCGGAGCTTATAGTCATTGCATATGGGATTTTGTAAAGCGGCCATATGGGTCAGAATAGGGTGTCCATTGACTTTTTTTTATGTCTTCGGAATTCGGGACCCTGGGAGACTCTCAGCGAGACCTGCACCCGAACTCTACACCTCTTTCAAGGCCCACAATCTCAGGACTAGAAACGGTCTGCGGTTCATACTAAGGATTCTTTAGACCCCTTTGATAAGGACCCTATAGAACTGTCACATAACTTTAATAGGGAGTTAAAATCAAGGGTTGGGGTAGCTACAACCCCATTATTCGCGAGGCAACCGTGAGAAACTCCATAATGAACCAACTATCTTCTTCTGCCCTGCGATGGTATTAGGATTTAACCCCGGAACGCTGAACCCTAAACCCTAAACCCTTGGGGTTGAGAAGCCCAAGGCAAAATCCCATTGCGAGCTCAGCTGCGTCTGTGAAGGTCATTGGAATTTGCCAATGACGCCCGAAGGCATCAACATGCCCTTGTCTCAAAAGCTGCTGCGATGGCTGGTAGTAGCCTTTCATTGGGTGTCGGTGCATACGGTGGTACAGGGCTGGGTCTACAGATTCTGAACTATTGAACAGCACCAAGCAGATGTACTAGATCTAAGGCTAGGTGGTTGGGGTGGGAAAGCCAACGTGACCAGGACTTGTCAGGTACATCTGTCTCAGAAATTGTTCGCGTTGAGCGCAGGTGTGAAGGAAAAAGAAGAACACATGTCCACACACATTCTTTACAAATCGCAATACTCCATGGCAAACCTCTAAACTCTGCAACGCCAAACCTTGAGGCCTCAACCATGAATCCGCACCCCCCCCCCTCCCGACCTATCCCTATCTATCTTATCGAACTGCCCATAAATCCCTGTATAATCCCATGTAATATGCCCTTCCGCGACTCAAAAAACAGCTGCGTGGCCAGTGTTCAGGTCTCCCATGAGGACGATGGGGTACGGATGTTGGTACTGAACCTGGCAGAGGAGCTGAGGGGTGAGGGTAAGGGCAGGGTTTAGGGTTTGGGGGGGACCCCAATATAGACCCCAAATACTACAATCCTTATTCTAGATACCCCAAAAAACGGCCCCATATTTTAGGAAACCCCACTTGGGCTCATTGGTTAGGAGAACTCTCCGGATGTAACACGCCCCCCGAAACAACATAGAACTTGAAACGAACCCCTTGCGGACCGCTGTCCTTAGTCCCTAAACCCCAAACTATAAACCTTTTTAAACCTTTAAGTTTGGCTTGGGAGATCAAGACTTGGGGTTTTGGGCCCAAAACAGACCGGCACAACCCTAAACCCTAGTTTAGCACTAAACCCACGTTTTCATGGGTTCCAGCACTATCCCATTATCCCTAACTATCTTGAATTACAAGTGAACATAGGGGTGGCTTAGTACCCTAAACCTTAGGGGACGCGGGTCAGGGTTTAGGGTCAATCCCTAAACTCAGGATTTAGGGTTTAGGGTCTGCGGGTCAGGCACCTGGCTCAAGGTCTTGGTGACAAAGTCGACAGCCTCGGTGATGACGTAGTCGCCCCGGCCTGGTAGCTTATAGTCCCCCTTAAGTAGATTATAGAATATGGGGTATGTGGGGATATCTATATTGTAATGAAGGGGGACTGTAGGAGTTTGCGTTTAGGGGTTTAGGGTTTAAGCGTTCAGGGATTTGGGTCTAGGCGCTTAAGGCTTGGACTTAGTTCCATCTTAAGGGGTCCGAAGGTTATGGGCTTTGGTTCCTATACAATTTCCTTCCTTTACGTAAAAAATTGCTACAGTGGTACCCAGGCTCTAGTAGCCTAACATGCACCCAAAAACTAACCTCCATTCGCCCATCAAAATGGCCGTCTATGTGGGTATTTCAAAATAAACGAGAAAAGAGGACAATGGAACCCTCCAAGGGGGCCCTCAATTTCTCAAAAGCCTTCGGGTGATGTTCATTTGAATTTGGGCTCCATGAAGAATGCTCCTGTAGGACGAGGGGTTTAGGCTTAGGTAGTGTAGAGGAAACGATTAATCCCCACCCCTAATGCTAAAAAACCTTCACCTCCCCAAATTAACTATTCCAATTGTGGCAAACCATAGTATATTGTGAATATCTATATCTGATGATATATACATGATGATTTTTGGGGAATTGAAAACCCTGAACCCTAAACCCAAACCCTAGGGGGAGGGAATTAACCTGTTTGGCCGGCTTAGACTGTGGAGTGAACCACTACCACACCTGGGGTGCCTTGGAGGGGCTCGTACTAGGGTTTAGGGCTTAGGGTTTAAGGTGATAGTAGGGAAGAAGGGAGTATATTATATAGGGCTAATATAGGGATTACTTGGGGCTCACCCGCTTTAGGGTTTAGGGGCTTAGGCTAGTCATCTAGAATTTGGGACTGCAAATTGGGGCGGAAGCGACCTATCAAACCTAAACGAAGACTACATTGCAAAGTCCAGGTAAGGAGAGGTCAGGAGCATCGCAAAGTATGCCACTAAAGGGTTCAGGCCCTGTACCCCAAAATGGGTGTCCAGGCCCAGGCACAGCACAAAGGATGTGTGCCGGAAGCGATGAGGGAATAGCCGTCCGACTTACGCCGCAGAGCCTGAGTTCCTGTTTCCCTGAATTTTGGTTCAGGGTAGAGGGCATAGCGTCTAAGTCTAGGCTTTGGGTTTTTGAGGGCTTTAATGGGCTGCTTGAAGCGATGCGGTAGGACCCTTCCTCATAGCCCTTCCAACAATAACAACACAACCACATGTGTCACAGAACGCTAAGGTGGGTTACCCTGATTAAAAGGACTTATGTTAAGTTACCATCAGAAGCGAACAGTCGAATTACCTTGTATCCATGTTACGGCAGCGTTATTTGAAATTCTTAGCAGCAACTCAGCAAAAGCTCGGCGTTTAAAACGTAGACCAAGAAGCGGCCCAGTTGATTGCTCGGCCAGCTGAGAATGGAACAAGGTCGCTAGCAATGTGCTCCCACCTCACTGGCTGTTAGTAGGGCATGGAGTCTAAACCCTAAACCCAAACCCTAAACCCTAACAGGGGGAATGGAAAAGCAAAGGGAAGCTGCTATAGGGTTTAGGGTTTAGGGTTTGGAGGAATGAAACAACAGATGGAAGCTACTAGACAGTTTAGGCTTTCGTGGGAATGGAGGAACGGATCCCGAAAGTAGCCCGTATTGGCCCACATACAATCCCCTGAATATGCAGTAGCTTTCATGTCTTTCCCTTCCTTCATTCACTGCTAATAACCATCAAGCCGCTTGTCAGATCTGTAGAGGATGTCTGCGTCGTTGAACTGCTCGGTAGCACCCCCTGTTGCGAATGCATACACATTGCCTGGGCTGGTATGAACGGACTTCAAGTATTCATTATGGGAGCCTATACTACCTCCCTTGATTCCGCAGAGTTAGGCCTAATTGGAGCTAGTTGGGGAGGGGGACGGGTGGGGGGAGGTGCAGTATAGCATTTCATGGTAGTAGGTTGTCATGATAAGGAAACCATACTAATTACTACTTACTTATCCATGTTCATGTAACTTCACCCTAAACCCCACATAATACAAGCCCTATGCACCAATCACTTGACTAAAGCTCCTTAAACAGCAACATAAGCCTCATGTGCTCCCGCTTTGCATTTTTTGACCTGTTGTGGCCATTTGATTCTCCTTTATTCCCTAAGCCCCTCGCAACTCCTATATTACTGCTCTAGCCGCTTTTAACAGCCTGCCAGTTACCGGATCGCTGGTTCAACAGGTCAATGATGGCGCCCTTCTCGTGCCACATCTCCGGAATGGCGGCAATCTCGGGCTGCATGCCTGTGTTGCTGTGAGGCTACTGAACTTCAATGTGTAGGCTTTAGGGTGAGAACCGAAAGGAAAACAACACAAAGAATGAAATCAAAACTACTTTAGAGTTTATAGGCTTTAGGGGTAATGGAAAGGACATTCAATCACGTCACCATACTGGTTCCGTTTAACGGGCTACAACGGTTATCTGGGATCTAGGGCTAAGTTATCATGGCATGGCTGTGGAGAAATTTCATATGGTTTGATTATGCGCGCAACAAAGCTTAAGTCCCTTAATAGCAAGCTAGATGCGCATCAGCTCATCCACAACGGGATGGATGCGGCCGGCCAATGTGAAGACGTACAGGTTCCAGGTGACAAATCGCGTGGGGTTACCTTGGTTCTTCAAACAGCCTTGGGGGAAGAAACGTTTCTAGGTCAACCCAGATCCCTGTTTAATGAACTCCCTCCCCTTAATAGGGATTATCCTAGGGATCCTTATAACAAGGCCCCTAACAGGAGGGGTTTTATCAATCATGGGTCTACAAACCCTAAACCCTAAATAGTAGTTTCCATTTTCTTTTCCATTATCCCTATACAATCCCTGTATTCCCCCTATTGTACCCTTATCTTCTTCTGGGTATATCCTCATCCTTCAAGGGCTCTGCCCCAACTTTCATGATAAGAATTCTTGCACCTTCCTAACCTGGCCCTAGGCCTCCGAACTTCTCCTACGGTTTAGGGTTTAGGCTTGACATAGGGTTTAGGGTTTATATAGGGTTTAGGGTTTATATAGGGTTTAGATGTCATGAATGGTTTAGGGTTTGGTACCGCCATCTGCGCTAGCGTACCTGCGGTCATGTCACGAAAAACTATGAAGCACAACACAACCACCTTGGATCAAGGACTCCAATCTACACTCGCCATCGCTCCCGTCCCCCAAAATATTTCTAAATAAGGTCTGATGGGAACTTCTTTGGGCCTTATTTGGGCGGGGAGGAGAGCAGGGGGGCTGTAGTAGCATAGGATCTCGCAATTTGAGCCCTGCTCCCCAATACCTAGCAGCCGCTGACCACGCCTCCCCCAAACAAAAATGAAAACCTCCGGAAAAAAAAACAGCTATCCTTTTTGAAGAGACTTATTACGAGCAAGGGGCTGCAGCTTTGTTTAGAAGAGGCTAGGTCCTGCACCCTAAAACCTTAAAACCAGAGCCTGCAACCCCTTTTTTGAGTTCGGGCTGAAGCCGAAGCTCGCGACAGAAAAGAATCGGAGCGAAACCCCAAACCCGAATTCATAATTTCGAAGTCTGCAAACCCGAAACCCTTAGCCCTGTTCTCAAACCCTAACCCTAAAACGAGCAATCATCATACCGTTACCTCCAAACTCTAAACCCCGCTCCTGAATCACCACGTCGAAAACTGACAATTTCACCTGGTTCTTAGGGTTATAGATAACAGAGCTTGAAACTTAAAGCCCCCCTTAAGTAAATAGGATATGGAACTGCCCAATGTCATAATAAGATCCTCATTTTCCCCATGTTCTATCTACTTAAGGGGGACTATACACAAAAACCCTAAACCCTATTCTATCTACTTAAGGGGGGCTATACTCTAAACCCTAAAGCTTAAACCCTAAACCCTAGTCTGACGTTACACACGATTTAAGGGTTTAGGGTTTAAGGTTCAGGGCCTATACGGTTAACAGTCGTAAGTTCACCTGACTTCTACCAGCGGTTTGGAACAGAATATAAATCCTAAAGGTCTCCCCATGCATACCATTGATTGCTCCTAAACAACCTGTTGCTCCATGCGCCTCCAAATATATTCAGACACAGTCACCAGCACCATTGTTGTTCTGGCCCTGCGACTGGGTTGCGGACACCTGCCATGAAACAGGTGTAGTGCTGGGGGCTAAAAAACTATCAGTACTCGTGGCCTATCTGTTTTTTAGGACCACAATGGTGGATCTACTTCGAGGGTCATGGGGACTTAGTAAATCGATTAATAATGGGGATAATGGGGGTTACTATATGGGTTATAGGGGCTATTAACCTACTTACTAAGTCCCTTTGACCCTGCAAGTAGTACCATGAAACATCCTTTCAAGCCCATGACCGCTGGCCAGCTTACAGGGGCAGAGTCTCGCAAAGCGCGCCTGTAAGACCTCCACGCCTGGAAGTGGCTACCCGGACCCTCCAATGTAGCACCTTATTGGTAGTCCTAATAAGAATCCTAACCAAAAAGCCATACCAAACCCAAAAAGGAACTACATTGGAGGGTCTAGGTACATGATTACACAAGTCTAGGCCCGTAGAGCCACTGAGATCACAAAGAGCTCCGCAAGTTCCCAGTCCATTTATGAACAGACCCCAAACCACAAGGGTCTGCACATGCCTGCCACTCAATGCCCCTGCCATCTCGCTGAACCTGAATATGCGTAAGTATATTCTTGTATGTATGAATATATATATATACTACCATGCCATATCTCTGCTTCCTCTTTTTTATCCGAAAATATGGCAGTATACTAAGGATACTGTAGAAGCCTGCAGAGTGACCACCAAATTTGACAAATCAATAACATCTTGAATCCTGTTGGAAGTACCCTGTACCAGAAGTATATAAGGAACCTGGCGCCATAATGTTGATAGTTAGCATCCCTTTTAACTCCTACATAGCCCCAGTATCCATTTCTTACCTCACATGAACAAAGGGGTGGAAACTAAAAAAGTCCTGCCAGTCAGGATAAAATCAAGAAGACTCATTTTGCTTTCCAAGAAGGTTGGAGCCCAAAACCAATGCACAAATTCTAGCGCAAAAAATAACAAAGGTGAGGCAGTAAAACATATTGCCTCTCCAAAAATATCCTGATCTTCAAAAGATTTTCTGCTACGTGTACCACTGGGACTACTGCCTGCACCGCTTAGTACTACCCCGGCCCGCGTGGTTCAGTACTGCGACCCGGCCTCCTTAGACCAAACTTGCAAAGCAAGTTCTTGGTTGCAGGTGTTATTTTGGGTTTAGGGTTTATAGGGTTTAGATTTCTTCTTGCGAAACTAAGCGATTAAATGAATAACATTGCTACTGTACGATAAATTTCGCACCTACGGTATTGCCCTGATGTCCTGGGATCCCCCATCCAGGGTGTAAAGTTACTACATGGCACTTAGGACCCCTACTAAGGGTTAACCCTTTAGGTACCTATAGTAGGAGTATAAGGGAATCCTAAACCCTAAACCCTCAAGGGATCATTAAGGGTGAAGGGTCTAAGGTCCAGGCAAAGTCCCAGGGAGGTTAAGGTTTGCTGGACGCCTCCCGGGCTGGCGCGCTGGTTGGCCAAGCGCAAGGGCTTCCGCCCAGAGAGCAGAATCCATCTGCCTGGCGAATTCAACATTGAGGGCTCAGGGCTTGAGATTTGGAATTCAAAGTTTATAGGGCTTAGGGCTTAGTATTTAGGCTTTGGAGTTCGGGGTTTCATGTGCAAAGTGCCAGGAGATCACCGGGAGTTCTGTCAGCTTCAAACTATGAGTTTTCCAGGATCTAGGTTTGGGATGGATATGTGGGCTTCTATTTTATGCCGGTGAATTTGATCCTTGGGACATGCCCACCTGCAGGTGGCAATCCCAAACGGGATTGGGGCCATCCGAGTCCTTGGCGCAAGCGACTGGCTCCTTCTGCTCTCCACACCTTCGTGGCGTCAGGAGTTTCGGTTAGGGGTACCTTTTTGAGCGTCCCCATAATAAGGATTATAGTATATTGGGGTCTATATGGGCTATAGTCTAGGGTATGATGTGGGATTTTGTTCGGTGTCTTCTTTCATCTTGAAACCCTGCACTAGATCTGTACTTACTTTTGACTGCTATGACCATAAACCCATCGAAGCTCTAAATCCGAGACCCTGACCCGGCTTCCTTGCGTTTCAAGGATTGGTTCAACGCATGTTATTTGACTACTGGAGTCAGTCGGTAGGGGTGACAGCACCTCAGAAAACAAAGGCTTCTCTCAAGGCCCAAGGGGCCCCCAAATATCATACACTCCACCCAAAATATAAATCATAGACAAATAGAGTAGGAGAGAGGGAGAGAGAGAAGATATAGATATGAGAGAAAGAGAAAGCGAGAGAGAGAGAGAGAGAGAGAGACTTCGAGCGGGGGCAAGGGGGGGTCAAGGGGGGCGGGAGAGGGAGGAAGGGAGTGAGATGGAGATCTGTATATATAATATATTTACATGTGTTTACATACAAATATATATATATATACATATGCATATGTACATATAGACACGCTCTTAGTGGGACCCCAAATTTGAGAAATTACCTTAAACCCTGAGCCTTGAACCCCAAACCCAAAACCACGGCAAAATCTTGCTCTAATTGCAGCGTGGGGGCCACGAAGCGCGAGCCAGGTGGAAGTTTGGCTTCTCCGCACAGCTGGGCAGCCTGGGCTAGCTGAGGATCTAGGGTTTGGGTGGTTCTATGGGCCTTATTCCAAGGGGGATATACAGGGTTTGGGGTTCCTGAGGATTTAGGATTTGGGGTGTGTGCTTAGATCAACCCTTCTACAGTACCATGATACATTGTACTTTTATCATACATACACATATACATATACATATGGGTGGTTGTCAAAATTATGGTCTCTTTTTGGGTATCCATAATATTAGGTGCCGTATTATAATCGGGACCCAAAAAGGGACCATCATTTTGACGACCACCCATATATAAGCTTACATATGCCTTTTATGTTGCAGCCCAAGAGCTCGGTGAGGCCCCGCCCGGATCCGCGGAGCATGGGCACCGGGCTCTCTGCAGAGGCCAGCAGAAGCTGCAGTGCGGCGCAGCCTCGGGCTTCGGCTTTAGTCCCTTCCTGGCACTTGGGGTTATATTGGGGTTATATTGGGATAGTGGAAAATAAAATGGAAACTACTATTCAGAGTTTAGGGTTTAGGGCTTGGGTACTAGGATCCCTACTAACGGTTAACGGAAGGGGTTTTAGGGTTCAGGGCACTGAGGACCCCGACTAAGGTTTATATTCTCCCTTAAGTAGATAGAATATGGCTTTGGGTATATTAAGATCCCCCCATATTCTATCTACTTAAGGGAGACTATAACCCTTTGGTCCCTATAATAGGAGTATAAGCGAATCCGAAAGGGTTGGAGGTCTAAGGTCCAAGCTAAGTCCCAGCGAGATCCACTTTATCTGTAATAGTTAACCCCCCCCCCACTGCCACCCCCTAGTAACACAGATGCCTCCCTCAATGTCGGCACTACCTTGAAGGTATTTATGCTAGGGGGTTGGGGGGGGTGACTATTCTGAGG